ATAATAATAATAATAATAATAATAATAATAATAATAATAATAATAATAATAATAATAATAATAATAATAATAATAATAATAATAATAATAATCAATAGATTTAGAATCGATAAAGAAAATAAAGATTTTAACTGAACTCACAGTTTCGCCATTGCAGCCAGGATTTTGTCGCTGAAAGCAACTGATTTGAAGATACTGAATTCATTGAGGGACTAATTCTAGTAACATCATTGTTCCCGTCTTGAGTTTCGTTGTTTTCATGATTGCTGACCGACAAGTCGCCGCTGTTGCTGTCGTAATTTCCATTGAGATTCTTCACGGATTGTGGCCCCGAACCGAGAAAGGACATGTCTACTGAGAGTGACGTTGAATCCTGTCAATGAAAAAAAGAACTCTTCATTGATTTGATCATAAAATCATAAAACAGGGACAACAATTTTTACGAATTGTTTTTAACTGCTTGTAATTTAAATACTTTTTACAATTTTATGTTAGAATGATTTGACAAATTATGACATTCGAGAATTATTATTTAAGGACGAGATAGCAACGATAATTCCTAGGATAGAAAGAAGTTGATAAAAATGATTTTCCTTACCTTTTCTTGAGTGAGAGTTCTTACTCGATTACGTCTTGACTTCGTGCTCTGTCGATTTGAAAAAAGTTTACAACGTTTGCAAGGACAATTGCGGTATATACAGACACTCTTATGGCCCTTCTGAGGAACTATTAATCCATGATTTTGACATCGCGAGCATTTTCTCATTACTTGCGAGTTTGTAGTCCTGTTCGGAGACACGTTATTTTCCATAAGGTTAGTTATAGCTTGGTTCGCGTGATCCATTTTTAAACTGACCGTGAATCACAGGGTAATACCTGGACTCATCGATTCCTATTGCCAGTCACATTCTTTTCTTGATATTCGTATTTATTATTCTCGTTGCATTTTCTATTTATTCTTCCTCCCTTTTTTTCATAACTTTCTTTTTTTCTGTTTAACTTAACCGATAACTTCCGAATTGAAAACTAACTAAGAACTTTTAGGCGAACTTTATTGTCATTCATAAGCACTCTGTAATTAATATTGTATTTCCAAACGTGCATAAAACATCAGTGATCCTTACGATCTTTTTTTAGATCTGAAACAAACTCGTAAAGAATCTTAAATAATCCATCCATTATCGTCGATATCTTGTAACTAATCACCGATTCTTATATAATTCTTTCTTGTAAAAATTTTAGAACTAGTTCGATAGACTAATTTTACTTTCAAACCTTATCGAATAATAACTTTTATGAGATAAACATTGAAATAAAAAAATATGACGCGACTCGATATTATTATTACTGATTTGTTATGTCGATCAATATTGAAACATATTCGAAAAACAAGTTGTTATCGTCGGTTCTATAAAAAAAAATAAAACTCTGATAAATTTTGTCGATCCATCTGTTGCATATGTAATATTAGAATCATGCCGAAGATTTGTCAATATTCTCATACATATGCCTATATATTTATATGTTTCTAAACTGTTAATTTTATTTCAAAAAGTATATTTCTAAAAGAAAATAAAAGTAATAACCATCTAAAAATGAGCAGAATGAGAAGTATGATTTATGAATATATTTGTTAAGTGCATACATACGTTCATTTTTCGTGCCTTGAATCATTCATAATAAGAACGCAAATCAAAACAAATTTGCAGCATTAAATGAAGTATTATAAGTAAAAGAGATATTATCATCAACTGTAATAAAGTTGTAAAGAAACAATAGTTACTTCTAAAAAGATCATTTCAAATGAATCATTGGCATTTAATGACCATGTTTGACTCTTTTCCTCATAAGATTAAATTCATACATTAGCTGCAGTATCCGTCAACAATTTTCGTACCATGCAATTCAGATGTAAATAATGAACTGGTCTTATTCTTAGTAAATACTTTGTAATTTCGTTAGACGTTGAGTAACGATCATTTTATTCGCCATGAACGATCATTCTTTCTTGATGGTCGATATTTAACGAGAATAATTTTAAAAAGAAAAAGAAATACACGTACAATAAAAATAAGAGGATAAGAATACATCGGGATTGCTTTTCCCTTAATAACGTACCGAATTTACGATTAATTTGTTTTTTTTTTTAAATGTTTTTTTTTCTATTTGAAAATAAAGTAAAAGAATAAAAAAGTATTAATTGTACAAGAGTGTGGCATTTAAGGGATTCCAAGAGCGTAACATTCAAGGAAGGAAGACATACGAATTGTAAGTTATTTATAAATTTTATTCGTAAGCAAAGAAAGAAATAGAGAGAGGGAAGTAGAATGTATTACTTAGCCGAAGAAACCGACACAAAGTTAGGGTGGTTTAAATGCTTTCTCTGAAGGCAGCATGTAAAACGCAATTATCCAACACAAATGCTACATTAACTTCACTTACGATGCAAACACAACAGTGAGACGGCAACATCCTACGTCCTGCAAAACGCTATCGATTGATCGATCCATACTTCGTCTTCGGACAATGTTCCCATGGTAATATGTTATTCACGAGAAATCGATACAAACAAACAGCGACATAATTAATTACTTTTTTTACTGATTTCCACATAATAGATGTGAAAATGTTAAGTTATGGAGTATTATCAATCTACAATTAAAATCGAAGAAATGAAAAGTAAAACATGTTAAAGGATCGGCATATTTTCCAAATAATAATATTTAAATTCAATTTTTTTACTTATTATTAAAACTTTACTTATTGTTATTGTTGAATTATTTAAATTATTGTGCCGAGACGGTTTTCAATAAATTTAATTTTTATTTTTTATTTTTAATAATTTTTATACATAAAAATATATTTAAATTTTGTTGAAAATTTGTTACATAATGGAGTTTTTATGTGGTTGCATTAAAAAACAAAAGAAAAATATGTAAATTTCGACTAAATGATTTTCCTTGTAAAGTGTATTTTTCCTTCTTTTTTTTAAAAGGGAATATTTTATTCCTTCCTTCAAAGACACGATGAATGAGATAAAAAATCATGTCTGAACAAAACGAACTGGTAAACCAAATGTACGATACATAATATAAGAAAGAAGTGTGTGTGTGTCAATAGAAATTATACATATATGTATATGTATTACAAGGTTTTTATTCTACTTGATCTTTGCATATAAAACTACATGAATATATATCTCTCCCATAATGTTTTATATTAGAGCTTATAGTCATGTAATATATAAAACGTAAGCATATGATTTGTGTTTTATAAATTAAAATTGAGTGAATTAACGTATCTGTGCAGTTTGAATAGATAAATTTAAATGTAATTTATGCACTCATATATTAAGCAATTCTAGTAGTATATTTATCTAGCATTTTCAACGTAAAAGATATAAAGGCGAATATTATAATAACATTGTGTGATCATCGTTTACATGAACAAAGCATCAATGACTGCATAATTTTCGAACTTTGTACTCTCGGTTACTGTCGATCAATTTTACTGAAAAATTTTCATTTTCTTACATTAGTTCGCACACAATTCAAATCATTACAATGTCATATTTCCTTGGCCTTTAGACCTACAAGCAACGTATAGATGTATTATCTGTTTTCGAATCTAATACATTACAACATTTTAATGCATTAACTACTACGTCAACCGTGACATTTATCAAGAAAACTAGCCAATTAATCTGTTAAAGTTGAATACAAGCAAGTAAAAAATGCTAAATAACGCAAATAATTGTAGATAATAATTTCAAATAAAAAGTTTAATCCTCGATTGATTGACATTACTTTGATCTGGCTAGTAGATTTTTTCTATTCAAGCGTAAATTTTTCATTTATTTGAAATACTTCAAGTTGACGAAGAACACAAAAGGTTTTCGTAGATATTGTAGAGATAAATAGCAGGTCGAACTGATAAAAAGTAACGTTAGTACGTATCCCTACTGTTCACCATTTATTATGCGTGTATAATTTCCCTATAATAACATCGCTGATATTATGAGGAGCGGCTGCTCTGGCACTCATTATTTTCGATTATTATAATCTCATTGGGAAGTGTACAATAAAAGTATACCACGTTTATCCCTCAGATCTTATCAATTTTACGAAATTATTACATGCACGATATGATATGGTATAATTAGTGGTCTATTGAAATCAAATATTTCATGCGAATCACTAATTACATACGTAAAAAAAACAACATTATTCGCGGCTTGCAATAATTACAAATAAAATAATTTCAAACATTTATACATTATGCTTACATTTTAAATATAATACGAGCGAATGAATAATCAATTTGCAAGGAAAATCTAATAATAAGTAAAAAATAAAAAGAAAAATGATATTGTGATTAAATGTCTTTCGGTCGTTATTTTACCAAGACGATTAGATTTCTATAATAGAAAAGTATCATTTTTCAAATTTTCATTAAGTTCGCTTTACAATTATTTTGTCATCGAGTGAAATAAACAAAAGAAGAAGAGAATTATAATTACTGAAATTCATGTTAAATATATTATTTTGCTGATCATGAAGAGTAGATTCTATTATACAAAATAGGGATATATTCTAACATCAAAAGGAATAAAATCACTATAGTTGGAGTGAAATATGTCACTCCATATTAAAAAGCAAGTGATTTCGTTTAATTATAAATGAACTTCATTTTATTTACTAAACGAGAAATTCTTTCTAAGTAGCTGTATCTATTCTGTTATCGATTGCTCTTATTTTATCATTTACTTAACCTTAATCAAATCAAAGAATCCCTTTTTCTCATATTTTATCGCTCCCAAAAATATTCATTGTAACAAATCGATCTTTCATTAAAAGCTAAACGCCAAATAATACCTTTCTCCTCAAAAATTTTCCATTTCGATCATTTATTAATACTTGAAATTTGTTTAACCTTACAAGTATTTAAGCTCTGTGCTTTGAAAGATTAAAAAACGAAATATTTGGAAAAAATTCTAAATATTTGTCTCGTACAATAAAATATTTTATTTAATTACGACAAGATAGTAGATAAACAAGCTAATAATTTTAAAATTTATGAACAAAGTATCAGTTTAAAGAGAATATATAAAATAATCGTAAGTGAATGTTTCTTATTAAAAAAAAAAAAAAATTGTGAGTAATTGTTTCGTTTTATTTAATCGTATCGAGCTTTTGTCAAAATTATTTATCATTATAATAAAAAATGTGTAAACGGTTTATCACTACCTGCAGATAAAAGTAAAATTCGATAGCGTATCCGTTGATTATTAAATATCAAATTAACTTAGGATGCACGAACTTTATCATTTACCGTTTTACTCATTAACATTGCATCAGTTAAAATTCATTCTAGTAAACTCCACAATATTTACACCATCGTATTCGACAATTTAAGTAATACCGAATAAATGATTTGTTACTATTGAAAATAAATTCCGTTAATGCTTTGAACCGTTAAATCTTGACGATGTTGTTCTATCGAGTTCGCGTTAAAAACTTTTCAATTATTCACGTGACTTTAAAAAATAAAACTCGACCAAGCCGATAATCACGTAGTACTTTAAGGCAGGATTCTACTTTAGTCGCTCGAAAAAAAATGGTATTTTTGTCAATTTTTTATTAGAAAACTAAGAAAGATATTGATGTAGGGTTTGTTGTGCTTAATAAATATACTCTTAAAGTACATTAAAAAATTTTATTTTATACGCTCTATATATATTGGAAAGGCCCTTGAACAGAACGCCTAAAAATAGTCTAGCCTCTGCGATGTTGATAAAATCTTGAGATCAGATTATATGAAATGAAAAACTCGAATAGTTTTATGTTCACAAAGACTACAGCAACAGCTGGTAGCAGATTTTTTCATTTACAAGCAAAAATAACAAAATAGCGTCAGTTGCAAAAAAATGATCAAAAAGTCTCTTTTTTTTTCTTATTTTTTGCAAAAAAAATAGTAAAAATGAAAATTTTTTTATAAATCTGCTACCAGCGGTTAGTATATGTGGTAAAAATTTCAGACGAATCAAATATCTAGTTTTGGAGATTTTATAAACACGCGGTATAAAAACGTGATTCCGAGACAAACGCATTTAAAGTTTTTTTAAGTAAAAAATCACGAAAAACGTTAACTTACGCTTAATCAGCGATACCTACACCATATACTATGCCTTCTGAAGCGCACGGGTAGATTCGAAGGACAGAAAAGTACAGTTAGGATTCTCTGATCTTTTTGAAATTTTCAGAGAGTATTCTTAAATATATTTACTTACGAATAATCAAAAAAAAAAAAAAAATTACAAAGTAGAATCCTGCCTTAACGAGACATTTAAAACACAACTTTCGAAACTACGACTTTTCTCAATGGCGGATATGGCAGTTTGTTGCAGTTATAAAGTAACGTTGATGATGAAACGTAACCAACTATTGCGTAAAAATCTATGTCATAAGGTTTTGTAGTTTAGTTTATCGTAACCAAATAGATAGAAGAGAGAGAGAAAGAGAGAGAAAGAAAGCGAGATATATTATAGAAAGAAAAACGAAAAACCAATACATACAGACATACTACAAGAGAGATAAGAAGGCAAAAAAAGAACAAGAAGAAACTCAAGAATAATAAAAAGATAAATTGTTCAGAAATTTTTTCAAATGAATAAGAAAATTGAGTGATTTAAGATATTCTGATATTCAAGCAATTTCCATCAAAGGCTCGAAAGGTCAACGAGTCCCAAACATAAAGAAGAAAGACCTTTTTCTTCAAACAGATACAGAAAAAAAATAGAAGAGGGACAGAAAATCAAATCAAAAGCAAAAGTTCAAGAGAGAGAGTCATCGTTTTTGAGGTCGTGACACGAACGAATCGATAAAAGCGCAAATTTGAAACCCATGCGATAGAATCGATCTAAAGAATTGCAGTAAAATTCTCGCTAATAAAAGAAAAATAGAGAAAGAAAGAGAGAAGCATACTCTTTGATTATGTTTTTACTAGATTATATTCTCTGTGTAGTTCTTATCTTTCAACGTGTAAGAGTATACATATAGGTAAACTTTCCTTCTTTTCGAAAAATCTCCGTTAAGAGCACCTAGTAACTAAGTATTATTGTTCGACATTTCTTCTTATCATAGGTTAACAATAAGTTTTTTTCCAAAATATTCTTTTTAATTTTTATTTATTTTTAATCTCTCCGAAGATATATAATATTACATTAAACATAGATTATGATGCAATAATACCTAGTACGATTATTGCAACGCGGTGAGATATAATAAAAATAAAAATAAAGAAAAAAAATGTATATCAAAATAATATTAAAGTTAAAAGTATTAGCAATTAATTATGATAATAGTAAGAAAACTTATTAACGAGCAAAAAATAATAAGAATATTAACATAAATTGACATCATCAAGGTTACTTCATTATAAAAATGATCTTTTTTGTTATAAATATGCTAATGTTACAATATTTTAATGAAGTTATGATAACTTATATGATAATAACGATGAGAAAATTTGATAAATGAAATATGTATGCAAATTACTTAAATAAGACGTATTGAATCTATGAAAACGTATAAATAAATTTTCTCATAAAAGAATTTAAAATTTTCTTACGAACAAGACAAAAAAACAAGCAAACACATAGATAATTACAAAAAAAAAAAAAAAGAAAGAAGAAGAAAAATGATACTTTAGCGAATACATTTTATATACGATACAATGTTCTTAACCTTCAGCCGGACTCGAATGTCTCTTTTAAGGATGTAAGATTTATGTAGCACGTGAGCTCCATTCTCGTGGTATTGTGCGCGCGCATCCAACGGAAAGCGCACGCAACAACCGAAGACACACACAAAATATTTGAAAATGATTGAACTTCTATTAGAAAATAACTAACACGTACTATTTAACAAATCTTCCTATTTACGTTACTTAGATTATTTGTATTGACTCGTTCACACGACTGACTTTATATTCAAAATGAAACGTATATACTTCCAAACAATTCATAAATCCACTTGATATATTCCATTCTTTGATTAGAAAACTCGATGCAAAAAAAAATCTACTAAGACTTGATAATGGATAACGTACAAGTTTCACGATTAATAATAAATCAAATAAAAATCCTCAATACGTGATACGAACAAATACGATGATATACGATGATATACGACGATATACGACGATATACAACGGATATATGAATAGGTGATTAGTTTATCTAACTGCAACAGTATTTAGTAATTACACTTACCAACTTTTGCGTAGCAATATACGTAGTATGAGCAGGAAAATTGGGTATGACTAAAATATCCTCCTGTAAATAATTTTATAAATCGGAAGAATATAAAAGAAGAGAAAAAAAAGGAAAGTAGATATATTTGCATATTTGTGTGCGAGAAAGAGCGAGAAAGAAAGAGAGAAAGAGAGGGAGGGAGAAAGAACGCACGTACATTCGCATCTTTAGTTATTTTGCTATTGTAACAAAAAAATAAGGAATAGAATGTTTCTCGACGTCCCCGCGCTCGTTTTAACACCTTGAGTGCTAACCTAGAAAATTTGCATAATGAAAGGACACGTATTATTTTAATTGTGATCGTCCGTGCTATTCTTAAAAATATATATATATATATTATAGTTATCGACGGCGCTGATTCATATTATCGTCAAAGACTGGCAATGTATCGACATGCCTAAGGAAAAAGCTGAGTAACGCGGACACCTGATTTGAAAAGGTATCTTTGCATACGCTGAAATCCTGATTGTTAAATTGATATATCGAAAAAAAAACACTTCACTTTACCGATAGCCATATTTGAGTTAGCGTTGTTACTTAAAAACATTATTTAATCTCTCTCATATATTTAGACTTATATAAGACCGTGTTAGAGCGATCAGTTAGTTTGTTGAAACTTGTACAATTAGAAATAATTCAATTATTAGTATTGTTTACATTTGTATAATCATTAATTAGTATCGTTTATTAATATTTCGAATAAGTATATGGTCTCCTATATGTAAATAATAATTTATATAATTTATATAGTTTATATAGAATTTTGATGAATCACATCGTTTATATTTGACAAGAATAGCAATAAACTCATAATCAATTAATATTAATAAAAACAGTATTGAACTTATTGATCCATAATTATAACAATTTTTTACATTATTTAAATCAAAGAAATAAACTTTATTTTGTCAATTGGCGGAAATTCAAAAAGAGTAACGCATTATAGTTCAGCCAAGAACGAATTTAAGATGCATGCGAGACTAAACGCGCGACGAACACGAAACACGAACGAAAGAGAGGGAAATGCATTATAACGGAAACTTAAAAATTCGTCAAATCACTTAAAAACTTTGACTAAAAAAAAAAACTATAGAAGAACCTTGTTCGTTTTGCTGGAAACCAAAAAATAAAATATAATAAAATTAAATAACGACGAATAAACAAGAGGAACACGTTCGTTGGGGTCACAAATAAAATTTTATTCCCGACGTAAACCAAATGTTTTGCTATAACTGTGAAGAAACACGACACACGGCACGTTTTCGTACTGTCACATGGCAGGTTGTATGCTGCGACAGATAGGTCATACGAATCAAGACCGTTTTTGCAATTAGAAAACGACGAGATAATCAAACCTCAGATTGCTGCTAGTAATGGCACGAAAGTAATTCGCTTCACGCAACACGTTTCACATAAGAGACACTCCATGTAAAGAATAGATAAGACACTAATAAAAAGTGAGAGTGTATGTATGTGAGAGATAAATAGATGGATAAATAAATGGATAGAAAAAGACAGGCAGACAGATAGACATAAATAGACACTCAGATAGGAAAACAAAGTAAGAAGAAAAAAAAAGTTTGATAAGCCAATCATGGCATGCGAGAAAAATTGATTTATTGATTATGATAAATAATATTATGCAAATGTAAGAATAAGGAAAATGAAGATTAGGAAAGAAGAAGGCACAAATACGAGAATAGAATATTTGTGGGTCAAATGTAAGCAAGAAGGAAGATATGAAAGAGAAAATACTAACAAAACGATACACATCTTCGCACGGTTCGTAACTTACTGGTAAGAATCAGTGGTAGCCAGTCACTGCAGTGCTGTCAGATCGTGGGTAAATCTTACCCTCTCCCTGTGCCACTGGGATTRYMCACAATGAAAGTTTTCCATGTCCGTGTGTTTGGGATGTCGAGGAAAGCCGAGTGTAACCGAAGTTGGCGG